TTTCGTAACGAAATCTTTATCGCATTTAACTCTATCTGCAAATTCCACATACGACTGCAAAAGCGTATCAATGGTGGATGCATTCACCGTCATCACAAAATTCATTTCTGTGCTCTTTTCATCGAAGAATCGTTCTCCAATTTGCCTGGCCACTTCACTTTTCCCACAGCCTGGGTTTCCTGACAGATACACTACAGTTACCTCGTTGTTCTTCGCGTTCCTTAGACGCTCCATTTCTTCATTGATTTGGTCTACTTCATTTAGTCGACTAACAGTTTCGTGGGATGGTTTGGCTGGCAAAACACAAAAGGGTCGTGGTTCCTCATTACGCTTCTTTTTCTTTTCCAACTGTTTCTTAATGTCTTCCAGTTCCTCTGTTGGAAAACTTGTCTCGTTCTTGATTTCTTCGATTTCAGTTGTATCGAGTTTCAGGTCTGTAAATGAAGTGATGACTTTGTCGATGGACGTCTTGAAATCGGCTTCCTTGAGTTTTCCATCCTTTGTGTGAGCGAAGACTTCGTTGCGAAACTTCCTCAACTCGTCAACACTTTTCTTAACATTTAAAGTTGGTTTAATGCTATTCGAGTAAAGAATGCCATAGAACAGGCAAGTGCAATCCCATTCATTTGTATTTCCATTTTTCATGATAGAAAGTTCTCTTGGTTTAATTTTTTTATTCTTTGGAGACTCCATCCCATAGAAATCCATGCCATTCTTAGACGTATCTTGCCACTGGCCGTGCGTAGCCTGGTAACGAGTGTTCCACTCTTGTTTGAACACTTTTCGTAGTCCATCAGGTATGATGTGTGTGGTGACTTTACAGACCCGAAAGTAGTTTAGTTCTTCATCATTGTACTTTATTGACGCCATCTGTATTCTAAAAGACGTAGAAGTACCTTAGTACATCATTATGAGTTTGGAAAACTAAAATATAGTAATAGTATAATGGCTTTATTAAAATTTTATAATAACACTTCAGAGAAATACAAATTATGATAACAATAGTGATAATAATAAAGCTAGAACGTGTTTTTGCGATGGAGAGGATGGATACGTTAATTTCGATAAATCCAAAAATAATTCACAATTATGCCTGTTTGACTTAACTAGTTTTCAGATGAAAAGAAGATGAAATACGATCGAAGGTCCAACATAATAAAATTTCAATTTTAAAATTCAAAAGCTTGCTTTAATTAAAAATATTTGCGCATTGGATCCGTTTACACTTTCAACTGTATAGAGTGTATAACATATATCCGTGAAAAACTTGGCAAAAATTGGCACAAATTATTAATTTCAGTTAAACTCAATAGACCATAGACTTACAAAACGCCGCACTAATTTGCACAATAGGCGACTTGCACTAAGAGGTCACGTGATCAAATCGGCCATTGTGGCGAGAAGGGGTTGGCGCGTTCCACCAACGTCTGGTGGCCCCACGTCTGGTGGCCCAACGATTTTGGGTGTATGACGTTACATATCACGTGACTTGCTAAGATAACATTATCGCCAGTTTTTGAAATAAACCTTTTTTGACGTTATTACACTACCAAAGTCTTTGTATGCCAACGCTGATGGTAACCAACCCCCCTGGCAGCGTGACGTCACAGGTCACGTGACCTATAAGTAGCGTTTTATGGCTAAACCATGACGATAAACCGTCCATAAAACTACTGACAAAGACACAAGATAGAAATTGAACATTTCCCATGCCGTATCATCAGAAAAAATCTGTTAACATTTGGTCAGCTACGATTTCAAGCTCACGCCCCCTCATGTGAACCCATACAGATTGTCTCAAAAACACGGTTTTTGGATCTTTTCTCAAAATAATGACTATCTAGGCAAAAAACAGAAGTGGATTCAGTTAATTCAACTATTCACGGACTGTATTATATGGTTTARAATGAATTCTATTGAAAAAAAGCACCGTACTTTTTGAGTTGAATGTACGTATTTTACAAGAGAAAATGCATGACGTAACCGGGGTCAAGCTAGAAAATCGTCTCTCCTTGATTTAAAATAGAACATGTCAAAAAAAAAAAAAAAAACAGAATTGGATTTGAAAACCCCAGGCTTTCCTGAACATTTTGGTATAATTCATAGGAATTTGTTAACATTTAGAACCGTATTTTTGCTGATTTTATAAACTCATACTATCTGTTGGCCTATACATTCGCCTCTTATGGTTTCTTAGGTTTCGTAGCCTCGAAAACACGCTTACAACTAGTTAGCGAAAGAACAGAAGATTTACGGGTCATTTAGGATGTTTTGTCACGCAGTTTACTTGTGCTATATAACTTTACTTTTAAGAACAACCTTTTGCTTTGGAAAGAGAGGAAAAAKACCGAAAAGAACAAATATTCCAAATGTATGGGCAATTTTTTTCAATGTTGGCAAGCAAAAATCTACTTTAGATATCTACTAAGAATATATTTCTTGCAAGAAAAGGGGACTTTTATCGTTATTTAGTGCGCTAACTTACCTTTTATCGCCAAAAAACTACCCGATTCGCCATCTTTTTTTACATTCTCGCATAGCTAAAATCCTGTAGAATGCCAGCCACAATGGCCGATTTGATCACGTAACCTCTTAGTGCAAGTCGCCTATTTTAACCTTTGTTAACTTTCTTACGGATATACTAGCTGAGCAGTAAACGCGGCGCGCAAAGCATGAGTGGACAATGACCGGCCCTAAGCACTTTTTTTGTAGTCTGAAAAAACGAAGCAAACTTGGCGGTAAAGTGAAATTGTTTTTATAAGTTCCTTTCCATATTTCTGCTTCTTGTATATTTACGATGGAGAGAATGGATTTAGTTTGACGCCTGTGTCAGAATTTGGATCTTTTCAGCGGAAAAGCGGAAAATTGCGAAATATTCGGCCAAATAAAAAGTCAAAGGATCGCGTTTGAAAGTACTTGCGTTGGGATCAGGTCAGTTTTTTAATTCTAGAAAGCGAAATTATTTCTAAGATAATGCATAAACTCGGAATAAGTTATTCAAGGTTTTGATTGTGGAAATCACCCGCCTGTGAAAATATGACCCAAAGCGCTACGGTGATGATTACCCTGCGAGCAGAGTCTCCTTTATATACCGGAAGATTTAAATATGTATAATTTATCGGATAAAGAATCGAGCAGCAAAGTACTTCAAACATTCTTTTATTGCTTTACAGTTATTGGTTGAGTTAAACGACGAAAGTTTTGTAAGTCTTAACTGAAAAGAAATTCGCAAACGGCAAAGTGGAAAAAATTTCGATCGACGAGTGGTGTGCATAAAATCGCTTGTAGCGAAGCCCTTATTCAATCACCGCTCTGGGGGAACCTACAAACTTTACCTGAAATTGGGAAATTACATGTGTTTGTAAAAATATTGATAAATATAAGGTTATATTTTCAGTTCTCGACGATTTTTCGAATGTCTTTCGGCTGAACTTTTTTTTCATTTTTATCATGTGTCAAGAAACCATCGCATACTTTAGCCGAATGAATTTAAATGCTAACTTGTGCCTAACCTCTTATTGTCTAATGTCGATGAGAAACTTGGTGTTATGTTTGTAACTGACTTACCTTTATCTGTCGTTTTGGTGAAAAGGGTACGAAGAAAGACTGAATCAATGGAATCACATTCTAATAAACAAATAAGCCGCGGTGAAGCGTTCTATAGACCCCTTGCAGCACATCGGTGAATGCAGCCTAATTTGGAGGAGAACGATAGGTTTCCAATATTCGATGAGATTGAAATTCATTGACGTCGCCGCAAGGGGTCTGCATTCCTTTCTATTTTTGTCTCTTCCACATACCACAGAAACTACCTACCGACCTTTGAATAAATAAATAGACTTTATTTAACGAGGGTGACATACGTTACTGGTAACCTAGTAGTTTCCGTTATGGCCCTCCTACATTTGATAAACTGAAATGAAATGATCAAAGAAACAGAAATTGTGTTAAAAATCCCAACTGGCAAGGAGAAACCAGGACAAATACAGTCTCAGCTAGTGGCCACAGCGACTCGAACCCGGCACCACCGGATTGCGAGACCGACGCTATTACCACTCGACCATGCTGCCTCCATTTTATCCTCAAAGGCTTTCCTGATGTTATATTTGTTTTATTATACTGAGTATATCTTTATTCTTGTATTATTGAATACAACTGCAGCAACATCAATGATTTTGTTCGCCTGAAATGCACTGATTTCTGATTGCGTCTTTCTCGCGTGAATGATCGCGTCATAATATCATGAAGCGTTCTTATACTCGCCAAGTGAAGAACATGCTGGAGTCTGTACAGGAGATTATTTATAGGCAAGCCATCTAATTATACATTATAATACTAGTCTTAGGTATGAATATTGACCGTTCTTAACAGCGCTCCGCAGCCGTTTAGAGCCGGCAGGAATCGTGACGTAATGAAGTATCTTTAGACAGACCGATTCAATGCAACGTAATAAAAATGCAAACTGGTGCTTTTTTCCTTTTAAAAATCTATTTTATGTTGCTTTTACACCACCCATTAAAACTGTTAGCCCCTGAATAGGGAATAAAACCCTGGTAACTATAACCTTCAGTAAACTGGAGGACCATCCCCCCTCTCTCACCGTAGCAATGTTGTCCGGCTTGCATGCATTTCACCAGCCAACACGTCATAGGCTAGAAAACGTCATAGGCCAACATTGTTCGGGGAAAGGGGGAAAGTGGCACATTATTTTTGCAGAAGATCATAGCTCACTTGTAAGAGAATTCTTTCTTTTTGAAGGAGGAAATTTTGATAAAGATTCAAGCAATTCTGAAAGAAGTCTTTGAGCAAAGACTTGCCTGTCTTAACGTTGAAATGAAGCTTTAAGGTTTAGCGACTTTTTAGCGGAACTGAACTAAGCGTAATTCGATCTCCTTTACAGAAGAAGCCATGTGGTGTATGCGAAAATCCGAACTCGGGTTCGACGGACTGCTCGAAATAGTTGTTGAAAATGGATTTGTTTCCATGATTATGGAAAATGTTTTGTCCAAAATGGCTTTCATTTTGTACATTAGTAGCACGAGCACTGTCTTTCGAAACTTTTAATCTACGTACAACTTCGTTTTATAGTCGAACTAAAGCGAATTTTCCGAAAGCGAACTTTAGCTATACATAGGCAGCCCAAAAATATAAACCTTCGTTTTCTCTT